AATCCAAATCCTGAAACAATTTTGTTGTCCATTTAAATTATTTTCTAATCAAACTTAATTAATTTTACTAGAGTCAGGAGATGCAAAGTTAAAGAGTTTCTATGTAATTCATTTTTCATATTACCATTCATGATGGCTTGCCCATCCAAAAACTTTATATAATAAACATTGGCACCCTTACACAAAAAGCCTATCCTGTCTTGTTTGAATAGTTCCTTTTTTCAAAAATGTCTCTCAAGCCTCCTATGGTAGTACTTTTACACCTAAAAGTCTCAAAAAAAGATGAAATCTCATGTAGCCAACGGATTCTTAATCCATTTCAGAAAATCAACTAGAATTAGTGACCACAGCAGAAAGTCTTATTCTGACACCTTCTGTATTATATAGCAATAAATATATTTTAAATTAAGAGCGATCTTATCCTCCCCAATAAGCTTTATGTAACCATCATACATGTGACAGAAAAATCACAAACATGAGAGGCGTGAGAACACACCGATGAAGTAAATTTTGTTGCTTTATCTTTATATCAGTCCTTATTCCACACCTGTCACAGACATGTCTGAATGCCTACCTTAGCCACAAACCCTGATGACTGCAAGATGCAGACAAGTCATACTTTTTTAATAAAAGCTATCATCTCTGGTATGGTTTGTACCCAAAACTGAAATATTTCATCCAGCCTTTTCATCATCAGAGCTGTGAAGATAAAAGGAAACTTTTTCCATACCTGGATTTGTAGTAGGATGTCGATGATAGTGTCAGGAATAGAAGAATCCATGTCTAATTTGGCAGAGCAGAGAGATAACTGTCGAATGAGATTGCCTAATTCCTTGTAGTGGGCAGGGACCTGTTGCTCCGATTGATCAGTAAACTGAGTGGCAAACATCTGCAAGGCACGGATAGCTCCTCTGTGGGCAGCTGCTAGTCTGGACATTGCTCGAGACTGAATAACAAAAGGAAAGACCTAGATGGTTAAATATGCAATTCAGGGCTTTTCGAAAGCCAGTGTTATTCAAAGAAATATTAGAAAAACAACAGTAATTAATGCTTCAGTAAAACTATTTTACTTTTGATCAATTCTGATGGAAACCAACTTTTTTCCAGGAAGTTTTAATTTAACTCTAATAAATCTTACCTTCTTAGTGTGTTTGATTTTATGGGGACTCAACTTCTCTAAATCTTCCTGAATTTCTTTTACCTGTTTATTGAGAGGGGAAAAGATATTAGTCAGAACTAGCAGCATATTAGTAAATTAAAGACAGACTTGCACGGTGAAGCTTGAATCAAGAGCTACATTTCTCAGTTCAGAGAGAGGTTAGAATGAACTCTATAGCCAGATACAATGGTAGAGATCAGGCATGAAATTCAGAGGTGTTTTGATGAAGTCTTTCTCTTTCACTCCAAACATATCCCATAAAGAACACTGAAGTGTCTACACAAACCCATTTTTTAATTATTTGTTATTACCTGTTGCTGAAGCACATACAGCATCCGAGTGGACCGAGCAGCTTGCTCCTGCCTCCTAAGGCGAACTCGCTGCTCTTTCTCAGGGTCCAGAATTTCTTCACATCTCCCTGAAAAGTGTTGGTTTTGCAAAACACAGTTACAAGTCTTGACAACGAACATACCTGTGAAAATCTTAAGTGAGCCAAGAAAACAAATGTTACCTGGCAAGGGAGTTTCCTTAATGCCAAACCAATGCATAGCACACAGTTAATCCTACAAACTGTTGTCCTGTATTAATCTGGATACACCATTTTATCAGTGCTCCCTCTACCTGCTTGGATACTCTCATCTAATGCTGTTCAGAGACATCTTGCTGACAACTGTGAAGCTATCCCCATACTGAATCATAAAAAATTGTGGATGAAATATTGAGTGTTTTAAGAATTTAAACTTCTTGCTGAAGATTATAGAAGGGCCAACATAGCATCAAATTTTGAGATGCCACCTTCCAACTCAGCCCTAATGTACGCTGGCCACTTTAAACAAACAGAATTCTGGCAGCTGCTGGCCCCTTTCCTACAGGTACTAACAATAGTCTTAATTATGATGTTTCTTTTGTAATCTCAACATCTAGCCAATAAAAACAGGACTAAGAGCCCCAAAGCCTTTCATACAAGCTAACAATATTTTTGTTTGCTGTCAGTACCACATATCAATTTCCACTCAGTCTTTTTAGAAAAATAGATGTGTTTAAAAAAAAAAAAAAAAAAAAAAAA